GGGCCTGGAGGGTGGCGAGCGGCAGGAGCCTGCGCGGGGGCTGCTCCGCGCCCGATGTGGAGTGATAAACGGTGTGAGTGAAGGGTTACAGCCACCAAGGTTAAACATCTCTCCGGAGGTTTGGGGTATCCCAATCAGCGGGCGGGCGCTTAGAGCATCCCCCCATCCTTTTTTTCCCCTCCCTTATTCCTAAGGTAATCCCTGCAGCGAGGCTGTGGTTCCTTGCAGGGGCTGTCTGGTCACGGCTGGAACGCGGTGCTTGCCTTAAAACTGCGAGTGAAGGGCATGTAACGCCTCGGCGGGGCTTAAAAGTGCTGCGGCCGACTCCAATTTCGCAGAAATGGTGACTCGGCACTTTCTTGGCTCCGCGAAAATCACCGGCTAGCCGAATCAGGGCGAAACACCAGAAAACACGGAAGGTAAATAAGGTTAGGCAGCCGCTAATGTTTTAAATGCAGCCTGGCATATTTTCATATAGCCGTTATATTCAAGTTTATAACTTTACTGTGTGGCAAGAGTAGGAAGGGTAGTATTATGCTACATTTCTGCTTCATAAGGAAGCATAGTAAACTTGTTAATAAAGTATTATTTTTTATCAGTGCTAAGCCAACCTTTCTTTGCTAGGGTACTAATGGGTCACTGACTTATTTTTTTAAGTAGGCATAGGAGAAAAAATAACTTCTTAAGTAACTGGAAGGAGTGCTTTAAAAAGCCCTATGCAACAGCCCTAGTCAACAGTTGTGAAATTCCCAGAGACTTGACAGTTTCAGTTCCTGTTTCAGCTAGTAACAGCATTCAGAGTTAGAAACTCTGTTTCTGAAGATTCCTGCCTCTAGTTGTGCTCAAAAGTGTTTTTAATTGCAAGGCATGATATATAATCAAGATAGTATATTTACTATGCGTTGGTTAATTGTAACACTGTATAATTATAGCACTGTTTTAAATCTGCTTAGAATGCTTGGCTTGCCAATTCCTGCTTTAATTAAAAATATGGGAAATTTGGCAACCAGAGTGCTACTATGGAATGCAAGTATATTGTTATTTCCAGCAAAAGAAAGAGGAACCACCCAAATGGAAATTTGATGTTTTATTTGTGCTTAATTTAATTGCTCTTGTTTAATGCCATCAACTCTAAAACTTTCTAGTACTGTTAAAGGCCAAGAGTAATAAAAGGAAGGTGCTTATAAAAAGAAAACCATTTTGACCTGAACACGATTGATGTGTAGATGGTCTTGAGAGTTTTATTAAAGCAGAGTAAAGAATGATTCTGTTGAACATTTTTTGCTAATGTAATTTTTCTATGGAACTTCCCTTTTTGTGATATATAAGTGTACTTTTTAAATATTTGTTCTGCAGTAACTCTGAATATCTACTCCTTTTCTAGATTGACCAACTCCAAAATGTTATCTCAGTGTCTGTGCAAAGTTTTGTACAAATGTTTGTTTCTACGCAATTTAGAACTGAGCTCAATAAATGCAGTTATTTCCACCAGAAGGATCCATTCTTCAGTAAAACCATTTTCTAATTGTGAGTTAAAGGAAGAAACCACACAAAAGCATGAAACTGAAGAGTTGCCTCAGAGTGCAGAAAACAACAATTCTGAAAATTTGCATATACCAGTGATGGTGGAGGAAGTTGTTAATTTCTTGTCCCCACAGCCTGGCCAGGTGAGTTAAGTGATAACAGCTGTGATTCAGCAGCAGTCCTGAGAACTCTGGGCAGTGTAGGAGAAATTAAAGAGCACTCTTAAAACATGTTTTGTACTTCTAAATTGATTTGCATGTTTTTTATTATTATTTAATATGGTAGAAACTTGGTATTTGTGTACATGGGCTCATAAAGTAAACATTATTTATTAAAACTGCAAGTAAGTATTCACATAATGTCTTTTTTGTGTTAGTCTTTCTGGATTGCTTTTGTGCCTTTTTAGGGTTGTATTAATTACTAACAGTAGCAGGCAGTTCTTGTGTGTATGTAGGTAATCAATTTATGAGCACCTTTCTCCCTGTTTGTATAATGAATAGGAAGTGTAAGGATAGCTCTTGTAATATATGCCATGCTCTTGCCTGTATCTTACTCTGGAAGATACTCAAATTAGTGAACCATGTGATGAAATTTGAGTTCCTGTTTTCTCTGGATTTGTGAATGAATTTTTCCACGTTAAATGAATGTATAAATTAAGACATTATATGTAGTGTATCTCTTCAGTTCTGTAATTTTCTACTTTAATAAGGATTAACCAGGCTGGTGCTAGAGCGTAGAGAGTGTAGTTCTTTAATGTGATGGTTAGTTTAATTTAAAAAACAAACACACAAAAAAAACTTGTAGGGGGAGGGAATCTTACAAGAATAACTCCATTCCTGATTATTAACTGTGGGCAGTAATTTTTTTTATTGCCCTTGAAGGTACTTCTTGAGAAATTTAAATAAGAATTTATGAATGTGAAATGGCTTATTAGTAGGGTTGGGTTTTAAGGTGTGTTTTTTTTTTTTTTTTACTGCTATTAGTTATCTCAGTTTTCAGGTCTCTATATATTAACTTTGTGGAATTTCCTAAGCTAGTAATGGAGCACTAGTCTCTGACATGGGACAGTGAGAGCATATTATTTTAGACAGAGACATTTATAATCACTAAACTGTGGCTAACCTGTTTACTAAAGTTAGCCAAGATGTATTTGTATGTTATTCTATGTATCTTGAAATAATTTCAGTGCATGTTTCCTCGTTAATTACTTTGTTTTGAAAAATGGATGTTGAATTGTTGTTTTGGGAGGAATAAAACCTATAAGCATAACAGATTCCCAAAGAATAAGTGAGGCTTAAATATTCATTTCACTTTAGCTTTGTGGTTTCTGCTACTTGGCTTTGCAAAATGTAAAGGAAATCCTTCAAAGGAAATTTATTGAGTTACTGAAGTCAACTGCTAATGCAGGTAGATGAAGTTTCCCTATTAGAGTCACAGAATCCCACTTTATTTCCCTGGGATTTTAACAGCAAGTGCTAAATGTTAAGACTGTTCCTGTTTTGAGGACAAACTCAACCATGTATTGAATTTTAAAGCTTTTTGAAGTCTGCAATTTTTAAAGTAAGCCGTATGCAAAAGAGTACAGTGTGTTGTTTAGGCAGGACAGAGAAGATGACAAAATATGGTTCATGCCTACTCATAATATGCAGGCGTGCTTTTGTTTTCCTGATTTCTTTCCTTGTACATAACAGAGGTTGCTATACTCAGCTTTAACAAGGTTATGTTCTTCACTATGGAAAAGTCGATTTGGACCTTTATTTTCTGTAGTGTTGTAAGACAAGGAGTTGCCACTATGGGAAAAATCCAATTAGAAGGATAACATTTGCCCTACTCTTCTTGTTAGTGAAAGGGATTTTCATTTTACCTATAGGGGTTCCCAATAAAGTAAATGTTATTTATAGTGTGAGTCACAGCCAAGATAAAGATATCACTTACCTCCCTATTGATTATGTTGGGTGTCTCTCTTGCTGAATCTGTTTGTCAGGGATTTAAGCCATATTTCTATTTACCTTTGAGTCTACTTTTATTGCTTTAGTGCGTGTTTCTGCAAAGTCTCTGTGGTGGTGCTTGCTTGAAAGCATACTGTAGATTTTTTGTTTTACCAATTTATTTCCCTTTTCTGGCCTGGAAAGGTCTGCAGACATCCACACACAAGTAACTTCTTCAAAATTAACTGTGTTGGCTAAACTACATTTTAGTCTTCTTAGTCTACTAGTGCTCTTTATGCAAGCTTGATAGCAGTTTTTGCAGTTGTCTGGGCAGCTTAAGTTTTATTTGTTCTTTTTTAGCTTTACAGATAGTGAAGAATCAAGTGAACCTTTTTAGAATTAATGTTTGTCCTTCATAAGCATGCTTTTCTAATTTTGACCTTACTCTACTTTTTCATAAATTTCTTTGCCTCTTTCACTTGCCTTTTGATTAATGTCTTTGATATCGTAGGGATACAGTAATGCGAAAAAGGATTTTGCTAGCAGTGAGTTCTAATATGAATGCCAGAGGATGAAACTTCGGTATTTTAATTATTCTTGTAAGCAACTTAGTTATAAGACCCTGATAAGTTCCATGTTTCTAGGAAGCTATTTTTATTAGTGTTCCAGTATAGACAACATACACACTGTCTAGAATAACAATTGCTATACCATATTCAGATTTAAGGAGTAGAATTACAATCTGGAAGCCTGTGTGGATTTGTATTAAGTGTGATAGTCTAGAATAGAGAAGAATGGAGATACACCTAAAACTTACTGGATCACTTGATTTATGATAAGCTCTTCAAATTTTCATGTCACCGAATGGAATAGGTGGTGAAAGTTGTAGTGAGAAATAACGAATGATAAAACTGATGCCTTTTATCTGTTTATAAGTGGTTCATCAAAAACAGTTGATATCAAATGCTCTTTTTAGCTAACTAAATAGTGTAAAAATCATACAGTTAATTTCCTCAAATACATGTTATCTCATATCTTCTTGAGTAGGTGGAGATTCTGAAAGCATCCTAATTGGATCTTCATGGAATTATTCAGATGCTTTTTTCTCTTCAGCTTTCATTGAAAGGCTGTCCTCTTTCTCTTAGAAGTAATATATAAAGGATCTTGAGGTTTTAGAAAGAGGCACGTACTTAAATATATCCAATTTTGACATGAGCTTTCCTTTCAGTTTTCCTGGTATTCCAGTGTTCTCAGTAGCTACTGTTTTCATGCATCCAAATGTCAAATGAAAGATTCTTTTTTCAGCTGGAGAGGTGTTTTTTTTTTTTTTTTTTTTCTCTCTCCGGCTGAGAGGGTATGAACATGACCTTCCAAAATAACAGGAGGAAACACAAACTTTGCTCATAGAAGTTTCATGTTGGTCTTTGACCACTGAAGTGTTGCATGAGGTCTGCATGTAGTTTGAAGAAAATGGTCTTTCACCCCCTGAAGGTCTGTTGCCACTCTTGAATGTTTTTGATCTGAAGTATAGTCATTTCCCATTACTCAGTGCTAGTTAGACACGTGCTATGTGACATTCAAAGGAAGCTGAGATGCAGTGCTAGCGTGCAAAAAGCTTGTTCTGATCTTCTCTTCTTAGTTACTTTATATCCTTGCACATATGTCTTTTTTCTCCTCTTTATACTGAATGCAAGCTCTTAAGAACAGAAATAAGCCTCCTTTGTGTAGTACCCTGCAGAGCGGGCTTCTGTTTTGTGAGAAGGGTTTCCAAATACTGTGGTGTATAAATAGTTTTGTGGCTGTGTACTTATTATAACAATTCCCAAAGCCATCTGTAAATAATTGACTGGAATTTACACTAAAGATTCTCAAAGTCTGAGTGGTCAGCAGAGTTTGCAAAATAAACAGAAATTTGAAAAAGAACCTGGAAAAATGAACTCTTTAAGTTTTCAAGTTGTATGCAGTATTTTGTAGGGCGTAACAAGTGAAATCCCAGAATGCCAAGCTAAATGCTGAACCAGATGTTTTGGTAAGGCACAACACCCTCTGGACAGAGTAATTGTTTATATTAATCTATTTAAGTTATAAAATGAAAGTAGGTTCAATGGCATAAGTCAAGTGATTCAGATTACCTTTTATATTGTAGTAATAGCTACCTGTTTTTATTATTAAATATATATTCTTCTGCCTGCAAAATTGTAAAATTAATTTTCTGACATAGTAGCACAGTGATTCATACTGTGATCGATAAAAGTAATAAAATTGTTGTAAAAGTGGGGAAAAAAAGGCATTGTCATTTGCAGAAAGCAGTAAATTAGAGAAATTCTGAAGATATTCTGGAAATTTTAGGACATAGTTACTGGGTGGGGGCAGGGGAAATATGTGGTAGTGTTGTTTCAGTAGAGACTATTTGGTCATTACTGTTTTGATTCCCTGCTAGTGTGTATTGTGAATTTCCAGTGGAACTAGGTAAGTTTCAAGTCACATCTGTACAAGGAGAAGCATAGTAAAGAGTTTGTAAACTGTATGTATGCAAAGTATATATGTGGTTTTTTTGCTTTGTGTAAGAGGAGATTTGCTACATTGAATCTCATTGGATTGTTAAAATATTTGGCTACAATTACATATATAAGTTTTTTTTTTAAGGTAGTGTTAAAGATAAGTTGTAAAAATGAAAAAGTGATGTTTTGACTAAGAGATAATTCCTCAAATACCTTATTTTTATTAAGAGTAATATCTATGTTTTGGAAAATAGTTTTTACATGGTGATTTGAAAAACCAGACCACTGTTTTCATTTTGTCTTTAACTTATACTTAATTCTTAACCAATTGGTCCCTGCTATGAAGAGCAGTTGAGGTAAGCAAATAACAGAAGATGAATATCATCTTCCAAATTGGTGGCAGCAAATGTCATATGTGTCCTACAGTTTCTAGGACAGTGAATTACATCATGAGATGAGAAAGAAAAGGAGGGGGGGGCAATGAGAAAATAGGACAGGAGATGGTCTTTATAAACAGCTTGTCAATAGAAGGTACAGAAAAAGTTGTTGTGCTCTTGGTATCAAGTTTGCCTTCTGTAGTGGGTCCTGAAAAAAACATAAGGATAATACATTCCTTCATGATAGACCAATTTAAGCGTATATGATTTATTTGAGATTAGACTGTGATGGTAGCAGTGAATGAGAAATGCTCATATTTTCCACCTGAAAAATGGC